CAAAAAAATGTATATTGATACGCGGCATTAGAATACATATGACATGTAGAAACATACGTGGTAGATGACTAAGTGTGCAGCAGACCACATATGACATGAATATCCGTGCTTGTTGTAAAATGTTCTAAGCTACCCACCCTACTACCCCAATAGAAAAATATTTTAGGAGCAATAGTGCATAAAAATATCTATTTGAGACTTCAATATTCATTAAAATAAATTATAACATTTAAACAGAATCTGAATACCTTAAAGGACACATGATATAAACGTATTATCTCCAGTATTCATAAGTATGTATTTTATAAAATAAAAAATTTAAAAATGTAGGTGTGCTTACTAAAAATATTATTATGTAAAATGAACATACTCAAGGTCATTAATGCTTTCTTAAATCTATCGATAATAATTTGTAAAATTTTTGAATGTGTTAATTGTGCTTTATAAACATAAAGGGTTTATATGATAATATGAATTCATCTTAAGAAAATAATTAATTATTATAGTTTTTAACAATTAAAAAAAAACATAATTCAATGTTACTAATAAAGTTATGTTTGTTTTACAGGTGAGCTCTGAATTACTGTCTCCTGTAAAAGGGAGGTAATTACTGTTGTGAATCAAAAGCACCATTACTTTTGTAAGCACCAAAGCAAACTCAAAAGTAAGTACTAATTTATGAAACACAGATTTGACTTATGTTTGATGTATAACTAAATGATATTGTTTTATCTAGACCAAGCCATCATGTTCTACTGCATCCAAAACTGTGTTATCTTCATGTCCTGCCGAGAAAACCGGCACCCCAAACGTGAACGCTCAATTGCTCCAGCCATTAACACATCAAACGGTCTTGGAAACCAGTTCAAGTTCACAAATGTACGATGCACCCACCAGAATGGAGGGCTTAGTGGATGAATTCTTAAATATGTGTGCAAACGGTATCAATTATTATTCATTAAATTGTTGTCCGAGTTGTTCAACTTGTGTGTGTTTCTTTGTAGGAAAAAATAAATGCGATAGACAAGCACCCGGGATTATAAATTCAAGTAACAGCACTAATGAGATAACTATATACAGAGAAGACGAGCCGTATTTAGACATGTTTCAAATGGGCGCGCCTGCTTTGATGGCGCCGTTCTCAACATCTCAAAACGTTTTCACAATCGATGATGAATTTCAAAAGATAAACAAACCAGATATAGAGCTAAATATACCTTTAGAAGATACAGCTTTTAAACAACCCATATCTATGAGAAAAAACTCAACTCTCAGATTAGATGTTGGGCTACAACAAGTTCAGTCAACTAGTTATGGTGACATTTTAAACACACCAGAAGTTGTGAAAACGCTGACTGAACAAGAGTCTGCTTTTAATCTTCTAGCTTATGTCTTTGATGTAAGTACATATATTCTTACTTAATGTTATTCAGTTAAAATTTATAATTTTTATTTTTTTAGGAAAAAAAAACTGACAATTTGGCTGAAATACCTACACCCAAAGATGTAATAGTATCACCAACCTCACAGTGGTCTAGAAAACGACGTAGTAGTAATTCATCAGCTTCAATACAAACTGACGATGATGAATATCCTAAGCACAGAAAGCCTAATGAAGATTATCATTCATCTGATGATAAGTATAGACAACTGAGGGACCGTAATAATGAAGCATCTCGAAAGTCTAGGGCCACAAGAAAAGCCAGAGAAAATGAGCTAAATGACAGCGCTAGTCAATTGGAAGCTACCAACAGAAGGTTGACTATCAAAGCTGAAGAACTGGAGAAAATGGTCAACGATATGAGACAAGCTTTATTAAAAATGATGACAAAGAAAAAATAAATAATATTTTTAAATAATTCATCTATTAACCTCTTATTTACGCTGATAATATTAATCTCAGGCTCGTAATACATATTTATTTTACATATTATCTGTCTGCTTATTTTGTAAACATCTCATTGCATAAAATTATAATATATAATTCCATGAAAGTATATAAGATAACAATTAAGTTTTGAATTACAGTAGTATTAATAATTATATTTATTTATCTTTTACTTTTTGAATCTAAATATAATTTATTTTTTTTCAATATCTTAGAACTAGTAAAATATAATTTTAATTTTGGATCGTGGTACATTATGCATTTATTATTGTTTTTTTTTATTATACCCTGTACTTATGTAGGACTGTTATTAAAAATTGTTGTTGTACAAATATTAAACTCTTGATGGCTTGATGGAAAATGCAAATATCTTATCAGTTAATTTTTTACACTAACCATAGACAAATAAACTTAGACCAGGCGCACATTAAGACATGCAGCACAGCATAAGATAAACTACATTACTTAATTGAGTGCATATTACTACGCAGTTTTGATATTTCAGCGATCCACCGTCTATTGTCAGTCATGAGCATGAGTGATCATTTGATAGTCAAAAATTTAATAAATTTAAGTTCTGAATCAGATTCCAATGATGTTTGATGAACTTATTTTATTATATTCGTGAACTAAATGTAGACAACTGTAGAAAAGTAATATAAAAAGAAAAAAGAAAAAATCACAGTGAATTCAATTTATCGTTGGAATTTCAGTCTCTTCCATCGTAATAATACGTATGTTAAATAGAATTTGTTTTAATTGATAAAACAAAAGTAATCTAGACCCATTTTTTGTGGCTTTCATGTCTTTAATATTCTTGTTTTAATACTTAAATATAATTTTTTTTTCACATATTTCACCATCTGAAAAATGTTTATGGTTCATAATCAGCAAGAGTTTGAATATTTTGTAGGTACTCGTGCTATATAATAATATTACAATTACAATATTTGTTATTATATTTTAAGAGGACGTCACACCCTACAAGTGTTGTCTCTGTCATACACACATACAATATGTCAAATTTTTGTTCACCAGTTTCAATAGTGTGCTGTTAGTCTTGATACTTGAATGAATATACCTATTATAAAATTGAAATGTAAGAATTTTATCTAGAGTCGCTCGTAGCCACGTAGGCTTTTATTGATGTTATTATTTTTAAGTAAGTTATAGCCTTTTTGAATTGTAGATTTTAAAATAATCATGACTTTACTTATAAATAATATAAATAAAATTCAATTCATTCTAATACCAAAACTAATTGTACACTATTAAAACTTTAAACTAATGAACTGAGCATGTGGCAGTGGCGTAATTTGGGGGGGGGGCAAGGTGGGCATTTGCCCCCCTTGTCATTAGTGGGCTACTATCGGGCCGGGTATATGGTGCTAGTTTTGGGCCACAAGCCCGCAAAAATGATTCATAACATTCATGTCATTGCTAAATAGAATATAACCATGATTCGTGGCTCCTACTGACACGTAAATAATTATAAGGGATCTGACATCTGTATTCTGTATGTGCAGTGGTGGACTGGACGAGTGGGAAACCGGGTTTCCCGCCTTCCCTGTAGGCCGCTACTCGTATAAAATATTTACTTATTAATATGTATAAAATATTTACTTATTAATATGTATAAAATATTTACTTATTAATATTATTGTGAAATAATAAATTAAAATGTTATCGTCGTTATCGAATAACGGAATAACTAATAAGTAATAAGTATATAATATTATTAAACATAAAAATCCAAATTTCTGATTAATTTAAAATGCGGGAGGCGGGACCCACGGATAATAGATATATTATCTATTATTATTATCTATTATCCGTGGGCGGGACCCACGGCTATAGAGTATAGATAATAATATTATCGTATGTATTTTATTATTATCAATAGCTGTGGCGGGACCTAACCTTGTGTTCGGCCGGTAAGGGTTAGGTTAGATTAGGGCTTGTTGTTAACTCATTGTTACAAGTTTAAAAATAGAATTGAAAATAATTATTACATGGGCCTTATGTTATCAAACTATCAAAGTTGGTATTTAACAGAATAATAAGAACCTGTCACTGCCTAGCATTTAAGCAACTTTTAAAAAACTTTTATTAATAATAAATATACAATAAAGTATTGTATGTTTTATTTTATTTTTTGTTAATACCATTAACTCATATTTGGTGCAAATAAGACATAAATTGGGGTGAAATTCCCCTTAGAATATGTCATCATATAGTAGCTAATAGCATTGAGCATATATTAAAATTAATTACTCAATGCTAAAATATACTAATAGGTAATATAGGGTATCCCTCTACATATTATATTTTATATACCTATGTATTAATTAGTCATTGTTATCTTTCAAAAAAAATGTGTTATTTATGCCTAAAGTAACCACAGTTATCACAGATAAGTGATAACTAACTAGTATGTAATGTATGTATACAATTGTGTAAGATGTAAGAAGACTGTTTATACTGAGATAAAAATGTAGTTGTTAGCGAGTGGTTTTTTTTTAAATTATGGCCTATGGGCCGGTCAAAATTTTTGCCCCCCCCCCCTTTCAAAACCTGAAATGACGCCACTGACATGTGGGTGTGACATCTTCGTAACTCATCAAGGCAATTAAATAAATATGATTTTTATTTACAGAATACGTAGTATGTAAATATTAAAGTAAATTAATTTCATTATGTGATGAAATAATAGGTATATTATTTAAAAATTGTTGCTCACAAGGTTAATTTTTGGACTGAAGATTAATGTAGTGCAACTACAGCTAATGACTCGGTGTATAAAATAAGGTTTATAACAAACATTTGTCAATAACTGTATAACATATTCATTGATTGAAGGGTTTTTTTGGATATTACATGAAATATTTCAAAAAACAATCTACTGAAAAACTTCAGTATTTTACAAATTGGCATCGAGCCATGAAATTCAAGTAGATATTAAGCATTTAATAATGGAATCTTTTAACGTTAATATTAAAATGTTGATGTGTAAAAATAACTAACAGGAGACGCATAGGGATAAATCTCTACTGAACACATTGACTGAATTTTTAATTTTAAAATCAAAAATTTTTTTTAAGAAGAACACAAATTTAAAATAACAGTTAATTTATTTTTTTTCAAATATATAACTTTGTTGTAAACAATATTTGATTCTTTTAACAGAAATCAAGTCTTTAAGGTATCATACACTATACACAGCTCGACATGAAACATAAAATACGAATGCACAAGCTTCAAAAATGCTTTAGTTCTAGACATCCTACTACAGATAACAGTACTAAACATATTTTCTGAATATTACACTCTTAAACATTCGTTTTTATTTATTTATTTATTAACAATCAATGTTTGTTTAAGTATAATAAACTAAAATAATTACTTCAAATTAAAAAAAAAATCAAGCGACAAGACAAGACATTAAATATGACGACTGACTTTTGGAACTCCTGGTAATTTTTACTATATAGGAATATGGTTTTCATAAACTTCCCCTGCATTATTATTATGATTCAACAATGGGAGGTTCAATGTTGGACGGAGGAGGTTTAGTGATGACTAATGTTTTAGGCGGAAGGTTTGCATCCGCAGTGGTGCGTGGCACGTGTTTCAAAGTGACAGCACGTATGGGCACAGTATCTGGCGAAAGTGGTGTGGCAGGAACCTGAATAGTTTCGCCATTGTGCATTGTTAGCCATGTCATCTTGGTGCCAGCATGCATACCATTTGCATGCGATTTGAGTCCTTGAATAGACACGTAACTTTTACCGCAGTGACATTTGTACTTCTTATGAACTCTAGAACAATTTACATTTTGAATAAGATAATTTTTTTTTCAATCTGTAAAACGGAATTTGTTAAAAATTAACACAACTCACTTGCCGTTTGTATGCCCATTTTTAACATGATACTTTATTCCATTAACATTTTTATATCTTTTAGTACAGCCAGGAATTGGACAAGCAAATGGTCTTATTGGCTGCTCAGTTTTAACTTTCTGTTGTGAACTACAACAAATCATTTTTATATCAAAAATTGCTCAAAATTGTTCCGATGATTGCTATTTAGTCAACTCTTACTTGGAACCATTTTTATGAGCATCATCAATTGCATCTGATGTAGTAGACCAAGAGTCACTGCTGTCACCAATATGATCAAGGTTTTCAGCTTCCCCTTTATCAGATTCATAACCTAAGAAATAGTACAAAGTTAAATTATACATTTCATACAGTTAAGATATTGTTAGTTATTCAAATTACCAGTTCGTGATGGTCGATGGAATATATTGGGTGCTGGTGGTAAAATACTGGTTTTGGGCTGAATGACAGGTTCTGCTGGTTCGATGTCGGTTTTTTGTACATTCTCGCTGAAAAACCGCATAACACAACTGAGCGGCAGGCATTGTTGTTCAGTGCGATCAATCAGCTCAATCGGTTTAGGATCAGTATCTATTATGTTTTAAATCCAAATGAATATTATACAAATCTAAACATCCGAAATATTAATAATACATTAGTTGATGGTTGTACAGTTATAAAACTTTAAGTTCTTTATTTATTTAACTTCCAATTAACGCTGTCATAACAAATAAGTATAACATTATGATAGTACATATTTAACTGATAAATGGACTTTCCCCCTAATACAATTAATATTTATTTTAACTACAATTTAAATTAAATGTTTAGCGTATTTTTTGGTCTGGAGATTTGTCATAATTTGGTAGACAAATTCTATATAAAAATTAACTTAGTTATTAATGTTATATTTATTTAAAGCAATGTTTGTGTATGGTATTATGGCAATGATAATAATTTAGTAAATATTAACTAATGTGTAGTATGCTTCGAATTGTTAGCCATTGATTGAAATAAATTGGTTACTACAACATTGTTGTAGTTTATTAGGAATTTTAATAATTGATTCATAGACACAATTAGGCACATTTTTCTTGGGCGAGGAGAAGGCTGAAATCGTATTAGCAGCACAAATTTAGATAATTAATATTTTAAACTAATATATGATTCAATAGCTGCCTTCTCCTCTAATTGTGCCAATGAATTTAATATAAACATTCTCTAAACAATAGTAGATAATATTATAGTAAGTTTCATGAATGTTTCTAAACAATTTTTATACTCTTTGATGTGATAGTCAAGGGTTGATTAGCTTGCCTCATGCAAATAATTATGATTGCTTTTTTTTTAAATTAGTTAAATACAAAATTACAACTCTTCAGATAGCAGCTAGTTAAGCCTAGACCACAGGAGTTTCAAAAACGTGATTGAAAAATTAAACCTAAGACTAGTTACTAATGGCCAATAGATAATCCGTACCGATAGTGCTAGTATTACAGTACACAACTAAGAATTCTACAGTAGTTGACTAGTTTTCCATGTGAGAATAAATTTGAATAAAATTCAAACCACCTAATTTATATTTGTACAAAGTAATTGTGCCCCTCTATTATTAAATTAGCTAAAAAACATTAACCATTGATCATCGTAAGTTGTCAATATTAATATTTTTAGAATTCTTAATATAATCTTTTAAATTTAGCAATAATAAAATACCTTTTTATGTTTATCATCAGTAACCAATACTAAATGTCTCTGCTGCCAAGTTATGATAAGATCAATAAAAAATAAAAAATATAAATTCACAAACATACACAAAAGAAAAAAAAAATACTCGAATTGTTACATAATATCTCATATAAGTTATTGCTTGGGAATGTTGAGTTTGATATAAAAAATAATTGGCATTGAATTAAAATATGTATAGTATATAATCATTAGGATTAAGTAGTTATAGGTATAAGTTTATACAGAATTTATACAATTTTAAGATAGGATTTAAATTATATAAGATACTTTTTAGGTGCATTAAACTGACAACCTATTAACATAGTCATTGCATTGTTTTATTAAAAATCTACTTGATTGTCTATGGACATTGGATAGTTGTTTTTAATAAGTTAATATCACTGTTATAAGTGAAATACTAAAACAGCTAATATACTTAAATGGCATGTAGGTACTAAGTATGTTTCAGTTTGAGATTGCATATAAATATATACAGGTACACCAGTGCTTTACACATATTATACCTATATGACATCCTTGAGAATATTAAAAAATTTACTTATTATTCTTTGTTACATATATAATTTGAGGTATTTAATATTGTTTTCCTATTCTAATAAACAATAGCTTTAGCTAATGTAAAGCTGTTACAAACTTAACAATTATTAGACGGCCAAAAATTACAAGGAAATAATATAAATTTTTACATAAAATAGGTAGATTCATTATTGCTTTAACAGTGCCTAATGATTACCATTGCTAAACCTAAATTTATAAGATCATATAATTTAAATATATCTCTCTGCTGGATACCCAGCCACGTCGGAATCCAGGGAAATGAATTGGCTGATACGTATGCCAAAGAAGCCATCTCCTCCCATCTCTCTTACAAAATTCACACCTATACTCTTCACGATCTAAAATCCGTCATCGACAAACACATTTTAACTCAATGGTAGATCTCGTGGTCATCACTTCATACCAAGCTAGGCAAATAAAATAAAATATATAATTTCTCCATGGCCATTCTTCTCATTACCAAGACGCCAGGAAGTAATTTTAAACAGATTACGGATAGGTCACACATGGGTGACCCATAAACACCTTATGAACAGATCAGATCCTGACCAATGTCAAACTTGCGGTGAAACTTCCACGGTTGAACATCTAATATGCTACTGCCGTAAATTCACCGACAACAGAACCAAGCTCAACATAGAAGACAATCTGGAAAAAGCTCTAAGTCCCCAGGTCAAGCAACATTGAAAAATTAATTAGTTATTTAAAACCAACTAAACTATATCAAATTATTTAACCTAGATATATCTCAATCATTTTTGTTTATACTATTACCTTTGTTTTGTATATATTATTGTCAATGACTGATTCTTGTGAAAAAAAAATATTAATGATAAAGGCCAATAACCTTTGTTTTTGAGGCTCATTTAAAATAAAAAAAAAAAAAATTTAATATAATTAAAAAAAACTAACATTTGATCATAGGCTAATAAACGTATACAAAATTTATTGATTTTAAAACATTTAGCTATAAAATATTTAATTAATTGAATAAATACTTTTTTGATATGGATTTAACGGATTAAAATAAGCAATTTAAAAATAATAGATTTAAGTACCTATAATAAAACTAAAAGTAAGAAATTGTAATTATTGATTAATTTATTATGGTTTACCACAATTAGACTAACTAAATTATGGTACAAATCATTTAGAAATACCTATGTAGTTTGGTAATAGTGTAAAATAATAAGATGTCTGCAAGATTAAGAAATACAAATAATATGAAGTGATCAGCTATCAATAAACATTAAAACATTAGATTAAATTAACAAGAACTATCAATTAAATTGAATTTGATACATTTAACTGAGAAATGGCCTTCAGAAATTAATTACCTCAAATAATTTGCAAATAAATAAATGTCTGAAAATATCTTTCAAAAGGTACTTCATTTTGCAATTAGTAAAAGCAAGGTGACAGAATGATCTAAGAATTTAATGAATTTCTTCATAGAGAACAGTAGACRGAAACTCATATTTTGGGTTACATGCGAAAAAGTGCATAACAAAAAAAAAATAGGGACCTCGGCCAAGTCAAAAAAAACTCTCGTGTCATACAATAAACTGGGGAGGGGAACCTAGAATTTTAATTTTTTAAAGGTGGGGTGGAGGATCTAAATTTAAATCTATGCACAATTGGGTCATAGAAGTTTATCGACATGGAGGTGCGGCACTCGGTGCGGAAAGGTCACCGCGACGGCCGGATAGTTGGAAGGGAAAGGAACACGGGTGTCGAGGCGAAAAATATAATAAAAAGGTCGCCGGCCTAGGGAACCACGTTCGCCGCGCCGACGGCGGAACGTGAAGAAAATGGTTTTGTATTTTTACCTATGTGATTGTCTTCGATGTGCTGGATGAGATCGTATAGGTTTTTGAAGCACAAACCGCAGTTGTTGAATTTACATTCGTTTAACAGGAATACGGCCATTTATATCCAGCAGCTGAACGAAAGTCACAAGGGTCTCTGGGTGTTAACAGAGTTGCGTGATTATCAGCTGATCGCGACTGGCCGACTGTACGCGCGGTCCCCCCGCCCACCATAGAATCACGCGAGGCGGCGGCTGCAGCTGTTTTACAATGTAGCCCTGCCGCGTAAACGCCCGTGCAGTGCACAGCGGTCGTCGATCGTCGTCCGCGCCAAAGTTCTACAGAAATCTATATTTGTACGGCGATATTGTCGTCTGACTCGTCTGTAGTTAGAATGTTAGAAAATCGTTGCCGTTCGCGCGGATGGGTCGATGATCGTCGGCGTTCATGGTTGTGACTGTCCAGCGACGCAACTCTCTTCTCACGACGGGAACTTAATGGTTTAATGCACAGCACATAACTCAGAATTCTTTTTGAGCCTACGAAAACCGTTCGCTGTCGAAACGTCAAACTACCGTAACCGCAGTTTAGGCCTCACTGGTGGTCGCGGTGACCTCAACCGATACTTTGCTGAAACGTGTACCGCAACCGCTATCCCGCGCAGTCGGTGGGGAACTGGCCGGGGACTGGGTGGGCGGCAGTCGAATCGAATGCCTACTTTAATTATTTTTATTATTGCTATTTGCCAACGCGCTTACATAATTATGTTATTTTAGTATTTTTATTTTTATTTTTATTCTGATACTGTGGCTACATGTAAACAACTTGTACTTAAGGACCCATATATTATAATATACATATTACATGCTATATATGTATAAACTAGGTATTTATCGAATCGATATGCGAGTATGCGACCACGAGTTTTGGAAACTTCTTTAATCGCAATTGTGTATAACTAAATAATATAACATTTCTGTGTGTAGACTGTAGATTATTTATTTATTTGCAACAATAGAATATATATATATTATATAATTAATATTAACAAAAATATGATTTAAAAATTGCAGTGCCCCCTATGGTCTATATAAGTGGTCCTATGACCTCGGTTGCTGAACTACTCAATCCTATCATCGTATATACTATATTTCTTTCATTAGTGACTAATGATTATAGATAAAGCTGCTTAGTAAAGGTATATCATTTTATGATGGTTTGTACGAATAATTTAGGCCAATTTATTTATTTAGATTCAGACTTATATCAGTAGAAAATATACAGGGTGATTCTTTTATCAAACAACACTCATTATTTAAAAAAGTATTGACTTTTTTCAAAATATTTTTTTACATAGTTTCAAGTTGTTAAAAAACCAACGCTTTTATTAAAAAATTTTATTTTTAAATATTTTTTATCCTTATCATTTTTTTAAGTTTTTTACTTTTTTGAATGGCAACATAGTTTTTTAATTTCATATTCCAAAGCAGAATATTTTWYTAAAAATGTTGATACATAAAAATCGAATTTAGGACGAGTAGTTTATGAGTTATAACTTATAAGTATTTAAAGTTTTGACAAGCGGAGTAGTGGACGAACATTTTGCGGGGTAACCCCGTACCACTCTACTCTGCCAATCTATACCTTAAATACCTATAACTCATAAACTACTAGCGCTAAATTCAAAATTTTAACGTAATAATTAATAAAAAAAAAGCTTTATTAATTTATGAAATTTTAAGTATAGGTTACCATTTGAAAATCAAAAGTTGATAGTGGTTTATCTAATAAATATGAGGGTGAAAAATATAAAAAAAATAAACAATTCAAGAAGAGTGTAAATCTACAATTTTGGAAAAAAATAAATTTGAAAAAAGTCAATACTTTTTCAAATAATGAGTGTTGTTTGATACAAGAATCACCCTGTATGCTTGTGAGTTTATGTCTTATCTTATCTCAATGCATAATATGACGTTACTACTTACTATAGATAGCAATAAATGTGACCCTTTTTATCTATTTATTATATTACAGGTATAATAATATATTGTTCTGGTACTATTATATAGTAGATAGGTGTTTATATATATATAAAAGGTACTTGTACAGTTGTACAACTTTATTGCAATAGTTACTATATAGCTACAACTGCTGATACTAGATAATATAATAAAATGCTATATAGTCACATCACATACATGGAGGATGGACATGAGTGTAAATTAAAATATATAGTCGTCAGTAGGTCTAAAACATCTTAAATGTACACATATTTTAGAAATCATTACATTTAAAATGCATATTATTTTAATAATAATAACAGAACGGATAGGTTAGGTTATATCCACTTTATATTAAATGTTTATGTTTTAGTGTTATTCATCAATAAACGACGGCACCAGAGGAGTAGTATTGTGCAAACAGATCYTCCTCTGCTGTCGGTTCTAACCAGGAAAAAATAGGTTATGTTCACTTTTAAAAATAATATAATAAATTGTCCATTAGGTACATCCAATGGCCAATATTATACTTCTCATTATTATTTATATTTATACCTATATGGACTTTTATATTTATACATGCACGTGTAGTAGGTATGTATAATTAGTTAAATTAAATTAAATTAAATTAGTATAATAACTACAATAAATTTTTATTATATTTTTAAAATTTTAAAAAGAAAAATAATTAAAGATAGCTACCGTGAATTTGTCATAACAATTAAGTATTTAATTAAAATACAAACATTTTACAAATATGTATTTACTATATTATAAATCGAATAAAATCAATAGCATATGTTGTTTATTATTTCAGATAAAAATTAATTAAATAAACTTTTCTAACTCACAAGTCTCATAACACAACATGTGTCTACAGCGTATTATAATTCCCTTTTTACTTGTATTAATGTTAAATCTTAATTTTTATGAATTATATAGTATTATATTGTATTTTTTTTATTAATAAAGAATACGAAAGGATAAATATCGAAAAATATACGAGTATTTATTATATGTAGTATAGTATTATGTATAGTACTATTATATGTCATAAATTAATTGTATTTGCTCCTCATAAATCATATATGGAATTATCCAAAATTAGTTTTATAAAAAAGAAATTATTAGTTAATAAGCTTAGCGTCGAAAATGATTAACTTATAAAGTTATAACTTATAGTAATATTATGTATATTATACTTATAGACAAAAATTATCCAAAACTTTAACTGCCTATATATATATTCCAGCTAATTTATATTGTCAAAACATCCAAGACTAAAATAATTGAGTTAAAGTAAAAAAAGTTAAACGCTATATTTTAAAACTTCTACTATGTTAGTTGTTATTAAATGATTTTAACTATCATGCATACTTTTAACTAATTAATAAATATGTAATATTATGTCTATTATAGCCTATAGGTATATATTATTTTTTTCAGTGCCTAGGTAGTAGGTACTAAGTTGACGGTTGTGATTGTGTTGTCACCGTCACCTCATATTGACATCTTATTCATTTTTATTACTATAAATTATAATATACCTTAAGAATATTTCAAAAAAATCTGAAATATTGTACTATATGCATACTTATTATTCTGCTATATTTCATGAGGAGTAAATTGTGTAATCCTAGCTGTGTTCTTATTTGTACCCATTGGTTATAATACTTTCCAGGCATAGAATAGGTTAGATAATACCTATCTATTTAGTAGTTAGATACATTTATTTACATTATAACATTACTTTAGAAATTTATCCAATCCAACAATGATAGGATATTAATAGGATAGTATTTCGACTTGTATTAAATTAAATAACTTTTCGACGCTTTAATAAAATACGTATCGATAAAAAAAAATTATTATTATAATTAATTATACAATAATTATGTTTAATTAATATTTAGTTTTTTGTTTAAATTTATCAAAGTTATAGTTGTATTGGATTGTCTTATAGGTATACTTATTAATAGTGTACCGTATGTGAATTTATAAAATGTGTATTCTCTCTAAACTAAAAACAGAGGAACCTCGATAACTCAAACTTCTATAAGTCGAATTTTCGATAACTCGAATTTTTTTTCGTCCCGAACCGATCCGAGTTATTGAGGTTCCAATATATATATTTTTTTAAATTTATTATTAACCTAATCAATATATTTAGAAGTATAATTTTACAAACAACAAGTCATCAGGCATTCAGGTCCGTAAGATGAAATTATTAAAATGGCTAAACAGTAATCACGATAGTAAAGATATAAAGTATAATATGAGGACTCATTTATTAAAGTAATTTTTATCTCAACATAAAAATTGACATAATTTTATTACTTATTATGATTTAAACTAGAGTTACTTCAAAAAAGATGAGAGTTAGGAAATAAATATTTTTTATTAAAAAATAAAAACTTACTATAATCTATAGACTACATAAGCGAATACGCGATGCGTATGCAAGTTATTTGTTTTAGTTTAAAAATGCGTATAAATTATCAAATCTGGACTTCGTCTATGATTAACGAGATTGGTACATTACATTGTTAGTCGTTATTTCACAAAACAAAACTAAAAATAAAAAGTATCGACTTTTATAGTCTGAGAGTCGTGATTTGAAAAATGGCGGGACTTGTTCCATGGCGCGCGGATACTAAAGCTCGATGGCTGGCCTGTAATCCCAAGTTTTGGTAACGACTGTAATCAGCTGTTCGATTGGCCGTCGGGACTTCGTGTAGTCGAATCTCCGATGTTGCCGCACTCACTGGAGCCCTTGCTTCCCATTGGTCGGCCATAGAGCTGTATTCCCGGCCGCCGCAATGCCGCACGACCCGGTCGCATATTCACATAGTATCCGTGACGTCGTGTCCATTCGTCCCGTTTGTCTGTCATTCTTTCTCGCCGCCGCTTGTCTCACATCCATCCCGGTCTGTTCGGCTCTGTGATCGGTAAGTAAAACATCAAATTCAACTTTGTTCATATTTTAAATTTTAAAAACGCATCCCTAGCTTAACTGATGGACATCGTAGTGTGGTTGTCGCGTCTATCGTTGCCTAATCCCAACGTGTGAGGCGGCGACCGATCCGCGCTGTCCGCCATCTTTACCAGTCGGGTCACGCCTCAGACGTCGAAAACCGAACTTTATCTTCATTTTTTCAATTTTCGATTTGTTGTAACGAGATTATTCTCGCACTTTCTAGGATCCAGTTTGTCGGATTTTCGCCGTTTCTTTTCACCCCGATAGTTTTACCTTAACCGCCATTCCCTACAAATTTGCCCTTGCCAAAGGTTAAATCTGCCGTGGCACGAGGTTAATTGGTAATTTTCATTAATCGTGTACCCGTGTTTTTTTTTGTTATTTTAGTTCTAACACTCCATTAGCCCGAAACAAATAAGCAACATACAAACATGTATTCCTTTGCCAAAGTCGTCGCACCTGCTGTCCGTTCCGCCGTAAGTATAATGTATTAGGAGTTAAATAATTATAGATCGATTGATTTTAAGTTACTCCAGTGTGTCAGAGACATTGTGTTTCGTTTAACTCAAAAAGGGTTGGTTTGAGGTTAAAGAGTTGTAAATTGGTTGAAGGTGATTACAAGGGCGATAGTCTTCAAAACAAAATTTATAACTCGTATCTATAGCATAGTTTTCATCGATACCTTAATATCAT